AGCATGCCACTAAAAGCCGGGTGGTAAGAAATCTTGTTATCCCCTCTGAGCATCGCCACTCTCTAGTGTCCCAGAGTTATCTTTTAAAAGAAGACATAATGCCTCTTTGTCCATCCGTAAAGTAGTTCTTTCTGTGCGTCACATTTTATTTGAGTCCTTAGGTTTTGACAGACTTGGATTGAAATACTTTAAAATCTGTTATTTATTTCTTGACTGTTTAGTCTGGAAAGAGGTCAATTCAAATTTATTATCTAAGACAGACTGTATTATATAATCTAATCTAAATTGATTCTGTCTTTTTATAAAATACATTTTGTGTACTGAAATTTTATCTGTTTTTTATACTTCCGTTCATCCCATTAATTTTATCCATGTAATAAACATAAAATCGTAATTTTTTGTGTTTTATGGTCTGTATTGAGGTTCTACTTGTTTTTTATATTTCCAACCACTTTGCAAGCTTTATTCATTTATTCACCGCATATATTACATTCACATATTATATAACTTGCTTTGTAGTTTTATGTTAATAATATAGGCTCTTATTACCACATATTTGACGCATTTTAACACTGGGTGATTTTGCGTCATGAAACCCACGATTCATCCATCCAATCATCCATCTATAATTTCTGTCTTTTAAAATTATTTACGGTTTTCCATCCTTTGATCAACAGAATATTCATCAGCTGTTTCATTTATTTCCCGACTTTACATTCATAGAAGATATACTTCTTATATATTTACTGCTCTCGCTGCAAAATGATACCGAAATCCATTTTAAAAGGCAGCTTTCATATCGACGCCCTTATTTGATAAAGAATTTATGGATGACTAAGGAATTTCATGAATGATGATTTCATATTCAAATAAAAAATATAATTTGCACTTTACATAAGCCTGCTTCATATTCATTTTTGCTTATATAAGTATCAGATTAACCTTAAAGGGAAAGATAATTCTGAGTGGATAAATATAAAATATATTTATAGTAAATGCACTAATACTACTATAAATCACATTTAAATCGTTATCCCCAATTCTTTCTCTTAGCTGTGCGTACTGAGTTTTAATTTGTTTCATTTTTATAATTTGTTGATAAATAAAAGCGGATAGATAATTAGTATTTTTTAGGAACAATAGGATATTTGTTGAAGAATTACTTATTGCGGCTTGGTTTCTAATTTTTCTCTTATTGTATTATACCATTTATAGGGTCAGCATCCCATTTAATGCTCTCGAAAAGACGTGTAATGCGATTTTACTTTCGCTTTGCTTTCACTTATAGCCTCAACGACGGAAAATAACCAACAACACTAAACGTCTGTCGTAGTTAAAATAACGCCAAATCCTTTACATAAGTGACTTCATGTGCTTTACTAAATCATAAGCTAGTGAAAAATACACTTAGAAAATTTATATGAATTGAAAAAGATATATCCCTGTTTGTTTGTACATCAGTTCGTAATGTTTACTTACTCTGCAGATTTACTTTAGCTTGTAAGTTCTTTTCTTTTCTTTTTAAATAAATTATGCAGGGAATAAATAATTAAGTGCACTGCTTTGTTAAAAAATAATAGAATATAATATATACTGTATTGCTACGGTTATAATTTCTGTCTCACCAACTGGCGAAAAAATCTTAACTTCTAAGAAAACCAAATAAAAATAATCAACTGGTAAAATATATCTGAAAAATGAATTTCTTAAAAAATTGATTTGTCATGAATAACATCATATTTTTAATTTAGATACTAAAAATTATCCTTTATTAATAACGGTTAAAATGATTAAAAAAAACTTTAACATTTAATTTACGAGTCCATTAAACATAGCAGTTTAAATAAGCTCATTGCTTTTTCGGAGATTCCTCCGTCCAGGAATAAAATGTATTCAATTCTAGTCTCCAGGCTGGCGCTATCGCCACTTCGCGATCTAAAGCTTTCATTTTTATATCATTTTAAATGAAAAGCCTACGTGTCATTAGATAATCTCATTTAGTGAAATTTTCCGTATTTAATGAATTAAAATTAATTACAAAAGCAAGTGAAATATTATCTAAAGCACTGTGGCTTGAAGAATGCCTATTAGTGTAAGTGAAGTATATCAAAACGGATCAGTGCTGTTCGCATCAAAGGTCACTCCATGAAACTTAAGCAGGGACGTACTTTTCCGAAAGTCACAAAGAAGTTTATAAATTTCAGTTTTTGAAATCCTTAGATGTTAGTAAACCACAATAATTTTGTACATTATTTGCTACTGAAATATATGCTATTGAAATACTAGGTATTGTAGTGCATAATTTCTTACTTATAATCAGGTATTTTCGATCAATGAGAAATTACTGTTTTGCAGTTATACATATTAGATCTGCGAAATAGCAAATTAAGGTTTCCACATTCGTGTACTTGAGCAGATATAAATTGTTCATGTGCACTGAGCGGTTTTACAAAGAACAGATATAAACTGCTGATATGTATTGAGCAGGTATAAATTCCTCACTTCGTCATATGAACAGATATAAATTGCTTATTATATTACTTATTACATGAGCTCTTCCAAAGGCTTCTCAGCAAAATATTTTCAATTTTAATTAAATATTATTGCATATATAAGTATTATCTTTAGTGGTTCCAAACTAAGGATAATTTAATAATAGCATATTTTAAAAGAATTAAATAATTTAGCAGCTTAGCAAATTTAAGGTTATTTGATATCTCACTTCATACAATATAGCAAATACATATAGCAAATATCATACAATATAGCAAATATCACTATATTGTATGAAGACTCATCCCAATAGTAAAAATAGTCTTTCATATATGTTTAAATGCATTTCATTGCATAGTTTAAATAAATGTTTAAGCCCATTTCATTGCATAATGTTTATCAAACGTAATCGGAATAGATTAGAAGAATAAAATCATAGTTTAAAACAATCGAATAAAATAATAGAATTGGTAGCTTACTGCAGAGTAAGTAATTAATATTTCACTATTAATAAAGTCATTTAAAATAACCAATTAATGAGTCCTTGGTAGCAGAATCATTGTGTGAAATGCAAGAACATAAATAATACACTATTTTTCAAAGATAAAAATTTATTTCAGATGTATAAGCTAAAGAATGAATTAGAATTGGTTCCAGATATTAGAAGAAAATTACTTAAACTACTAGTTTAGTGCGTGACGGTGAAGTACAATTTTATTTTATGGTAGAAGCAAATTTATTGAAATATTCACATATTTACATTTCCCAAAGTCTAGCTATTCTGCAGCATAAAATACTATACTACATATAACATTTTTAAGTAATATTTATATGCGATTAAGGTAGAAATAACGATTAAGAAAAGCATAGTTTTTTAATCGTGTTCCTAAGTAATTATCGTAAGGTAAGAAACCAGAAAAAACCGTTCAATATAATTTCAATTCTATTTGTATTTTCTTCATTCAGAAACTGGGAAACAAACTGCGACAATTTTGATTAATATGTCGATTCTGCCTCAAAATGTAACTAATGTCATTGTAGAGTTAAATTATAATTACGAGCATAGAAATGCACGAGAATTTAATGTGCTGTTGTATGTTTTCCATTTCTTCTTTCTTAATTTCTTTTGTGCATGATACTTTCTCAAATGAATGAGCATGATATGTATGAATACTGGCACCCGTGAAGCACGTTGCCTGTTTTGATCTATGTATTAAACATACGACAGTTCTAAATGCATGGGATTTGATATGGCTAATTGCAATTTATATTTGTATGTGTTTAATGTATTTTATATTTCGAAGATTTTCATTATACATTTGTATTTAGTAACGTCAAAGTATTATAAGTCAAATTATAATTTCATTTAAGAATAAGAGGTTAAGAAAGGATGTATTTTTATGATCATGATCAAAGCTGGTGAAAGGAATAATTATTGTATTTGTTTTGATCTATCTATATATAATGTTAAAACAGGCCAATTTCTCTTGGAAAATTTTGCGCTTTGCTTCACAATCAAACAACTACTGAGAAATGTTTTGTAATCATTTAATCAAATAACCAACAGCTATAACGTTGTACACTCTGTTAGATGATTATCTCAAAGCGCACTATGGCTGACTGCCTATGGAGGTTACTTTCGTGAAAGATATTTTAAAGGGAATTGGCTTGTATTCAGGTTGAATATGGGGAATTCACAAAATTGTCCATACAGTCATTTATTTGCTAACATTCGAGCTTAAATTGAACTACTAATGTTCAGAATTTTATCTTTTAAGCCGTTATCATGCAATAAGATTAAACAAAGCCTCAATATTTTAGGTCAACATTTATGAAACGATATATTTCTGAAATTGTTTATAAAAAATAGAAAAGAGTATTGTTAGCGATGCCAGTTGCTAGAATTTATAAATTAGCACAATCCTGTTATACTGTATATTGCATAGATTAAGTTTCACAAGTGAACTGAAATTAACTGCGAATTTTTTCATGTTCCATATGGGTGCTTGAAATCATTATTGTCATTTGCTCTTTAATTAGCAATTTCTTCTAAGTCGTTTCGTTAACAATAACATATAAAGTCTTCTCTCACTTGGATTTAAAATAAAAATGTTTATCTTTAGAACAACAGAGATTTTTAATTTGTAATCTTCCGATCTCTACACTTTAAGAGAGAAAAAATATTTCTTATCGTTCTTTCTTTATTAATCAATGTTAAGTGATGCTCGTTTCTGGGGAATTTTGCTATTTACGGATACTTTGCTTCGCTTCTTTAAAATTTTAATTGCATATTTACTAATAATTGATTTTTCCGTTCTTTTTAAAAATATTTAAGTTAATATTGTAAGTATAGGTTACATTCATCCTCATAGATCTTGTTTGAAGCTATATATATATATATATATATATAATTCATGTGATTACAAAAGAATAGTATTTTATACTGTTAAAATGTAGATATGGCATAAGGTGTCTTTATTTTAACTTACATTACCATACCCCCGCAGGTACTTACTTTGCTTGCATTATGATTATGGTAGCTTTCTCAGTGGTTATGACTGTAGTCGTTCTCAATTACCACCACAGAAGTTCAGATACACACGAAATGCCAGAATGTGTAAGTATCAGATCGTGTTTTTTTAAACTGTGCTTAACTTCATAACTTATAATCTTCATAGTGCATTACATACTGCTTAGTTTCTTTAAACTGAAATGATTTTGCATAGTGAAAACAATTAGCAATACTTTTTTGAACTGCCGAAACGCTACTATAAGGCTAATATAAAAACATTATTAATTGTTTGAATACCTTTAAATCCATAAAATCAAATGCAAAACTGCAGAAGAATATCTAAAATAATCATTCAAATTATGTACACAAATTAAGCCACTGAAGTATATATGAAGTAATGGAAAACTTTTAATAATTTATTGTAGAAAAAGTATTAGCTGTAGAAAATAAGAAAATATATAATTTCAATGCGTAAAAATGTATGGTTATTAACATATCATTTATTTTAAAAACACTTTATGTGGAAGCCATGTCTGACTAGACAAATACCAAAGCCCTTTAAAAGGGGGAGTATATAAGGTATTTGGTATTTCTTCTGCCTTCTTAGCATGCCTTCGTGGTTTGGTGGTCTGCACGCTCGGCGCGTATTCCAGAGGTCCATGGTTCGATTACCGGCGAGAGCGTTGCTCATTTTTCATCTCCCCTGCTTCCAAAAAACCTATTGTCTCTACAATCTTAGGTTGTTTAGTTCTATATTTTAATCACAGCGATAGAAATGTATGCCTGATACCTAAATACTCATTGCTCCATATGCTCAAATATTCAGTTATCATGATATTTAACTATGACGCTTTTTATTTAATTACCATAAAATTGTATTGAGGAAAATAATAAAAAAATGAGTTATTTTGATCAAACAACTGACTTCTAATTTTGTTGACATAGAACTAAGTATCAATAGGAAAATGAATAATAAACTATGATTGGATAATTAAGAAAATAATGGTCAATATCTCACCTGCATAATATTGATGAAAAGCGTCACATTCAATTAAATTCTTTCGTAACAGTTTTGGCTATAGGATTAATTTTAATGTAATAATGTTGGCTTTATTTTTGAAAATTGTTTCAAATAAAGCTCAAGCTTTCTAAATGGTTTAGAAAGCTCATTCCCAAATTCTTGGATAAATAGATAATTTTCTTCTTTTTTATTATAAACAATACAAATATCTTTAATAAATTGAGTTTTCTTTTCTTCTTCATAAATATATATTAATGTGCTCATTAAACTTAACTTTAAGCGTTAGAGAATTTAAGGATTATTCTGAAAACAATTTTATTTGGAAAATGGCATGGAAATAGCAGCTTTATATTTGCTGTATTATAGCTAAAATCCAAACGGAAAACACTGTTTCTGAATTTTGTTTCTTATTCAATACTGGAAGATCCAGGTGACGGGTTGATTGAAAATGTCGGGCGAAGAAAGACAGCCAATCAGATTAATGAATAAGCCTTGAAGCACTTCGATTTTCAACACTCTTCTGGGAGGACAGTTGAAAAAGCTTTACGATGGCTTTAATAGAATTATTAATGAATGTTGAATAAGAATGAGAACTGCATTTTATCAGCTTTTAGATAAGTGTGAATCTTACGTGCTAGAGCACTGATAATGTAAATTTTTAAATATTAAGCTGCTGTAAATGGGCACAGAAATGCTAAAACGAATCCTAACCCAATCAATAATCATAAATACAACTGTAGACAGACTGTACTTATCGTGTAAATTAAAACTAGCGGGGTGGCAGGTGAGAAAGGTTCTTTGATCATATAATCTGTGCACAAATATCGCGCCCAAATTACGTTTTTATGCCTAAGGCTATATGGTGCGGGTTAAATCCGCCTCTTTTTGTGCAACTTTATGAAATAGTGCAATTCTCATTACAGTTTTAAGTGCCATTTTCAGAGTGATTTAACATAGCCCAGGAGGAAAGATTCTAATCTTATTGAAGGTATGTGCATACCCATTTCGTTGCATTTAACTGAGATACCATGCAGTTCAAATTTTTCTGAAACTTGGTTATATAACAACGTGAACAGATTGAAAAAACTATTCTTTTTTATGCCCTTTGTATGAAGCATAGTTAATGACATCCCCTGATTTTTTCTTTTAATTGCTTTTTGTGCAGGTCAGAGAACTCTAACGGGAAATGCATATTCTGTTAGTCTTTATATTAAATAAAATTCACCGTTATGATAACGATTCTAGTAGTATATGATATGTCCTGAAGCACTGTCCATCATCAGTAGAAAAGGATTTGATTCCAGTTCTAAGTGCTAACAAATTGCTACCAAAGGTTCTTTTACAGTTACTTATAGGCACTATATACGACATTCGGAATATACATATTCGGCCATCTGTTTACACGAAGCATTATAGTTCTGAATTCGAAGGACCAGTCAATTAATGTCTCTTTAGAAACCAATGCGCTGTCATCGGTGATGCTTTCATCATTGAAGCACTCTAAACGATGACGTATAATAATCCATTTTTTGTCATTGATGAAATATGCGCTGCCATCGATGTGCTGTCATTGATGAACCTGTCATCGATGAAGCACTGCCATCGATGAAGTATAATAATTCCTGCTCTGTCATCGTTGAAGAGCATCAAGTGCTGTGATCGATAAAGTGCAATGATTAGCTTTTGAATTACAAATGTTTCTATGGATGAGCAACTGCATATTCAGAATCATTCTATGTATAGTGCGCTATAAAACATTACCACAATCGTGTTCATCATCCCTATATTTGCGGATGATCTGTATCATTGCATTCATATCATAAATGTTGTAACTTCTGTGGCTTTTGACATCTACGAGTTGAGTTCAGCATATGGCTGAAGCCACTTCAACTTTTTTAGTCCTTACTAACTTATAATACATACTTACAAAAACGATATGTAAGTAGCTCCTGATAAAGACTGTTTTAAATCCGAAGAGCTTTGCTATTATGTTTGTCTTTATTAAACTCTGAAAATTCCTAGCTCTTCCATTTAACACAATACTAAATCTAACAACAAGATAGCTTTGAGGCTGCATATACACTTTCTTTTAATGGCTTTCTTACGTTTATTCCTGAAACTCTGGAACTACATCGTTAAGGGGCGCAAAATGATATCAATAAATTACTTTCTGATTACATAACACGTTTTGCACTTAAAAATGTGAAAAGCTTTTGTCTTTAAATAATCAAAGCAAAATTTATAATTTAAAAAATTGACTTAAGAATATAAATAATAATGTTATTTTTTTAAGAATTTTCTTATTTTCAGTAATGAAAATGTTTTACTATATATTAAAATAGTTTGTGACTGAAAAATATTCTAGAAACAAAGTTTCAAAAAATAAAATTTATTGCTCATTCCTTCATGAACAGTTTCATATCTTAAACTTATTTCTCACTATAATAGAATGTAACAGTTGATAAGATACCTTATTTCATGTCGGCACAGATTGCAGCTTTATCGTTGGCATTGTGGCAAAACTATAAAAGAATGTTTAAGAAAGAGCAGGTTGTTTTTCCAGAAAAGCTGATATTTCTAAATTAGGTTGGATATGTTTTAAATGTAATAAAGTATTTTCAATAATGTTGATAAAAAAGTGAAACTTTTCTGACTAAACCTTTCGATATTATAGCACTTTAACAGAGAGGTTACCTCTAATTTTTCAGCTTCATGTTCAGCCTTCTGAATTTTCAGCCTAGTGGTAGATTACAAAGTATATATAATAATCATGCATTTTCAATATTCTTATCTATCATTAACTCCGTCTATTTAAAATTAAGATGCATTGTTCGGTTTTAGATCTGATTTCTGAAGTTCGTGGTTAAATAGTAATTGATCTTGGAGGAAGTGGATCTTGAGTGGAGTGAAAAATAACTTCAAGAATATTTACGAATTTAAGCTGTAATTCAACGATAAAGTTAGATACACATTTCCTTTTCACGTGTACTCATAATGAAGGGCTTTCACTAAATGAATGATGAAGTCGAAAAACATCCTTGTATTTTGCGTAGACTAACTGCTTAAAAGTGCGAAGCACGCAAAATAAATTTCTGTGACATATCAAATGCAACTCCTATGATGTAGCGTAGAGCAAAATTGCTTGGTCTTTTACAAGTAGCATTTATTTTTCAAAATAGTATGATATAAAATATAGATATCTTTAAATTTAAGGATAACATAGAAAATTAGACATAATTCACGATTTGATTAAAAGGAGTAATCTGTATTGTTATAGAAAATATTGAATAGCTGTATTTTGCGGTAATTATAAGCCTCATAATTACAAAGTAAACTCTGCAGAGAAGTCATCTATAGGAAGAAAAATAGACATTTATTAATACATTTATTAAGCAAAAAATATTTATTAATGCTATAAAAATATTATACAATGCTATTAATATATAATAAAAATATTATTAATGCTATAAAAATATTTATTAATGCTATAAAAATATTTATTAATGCTAGAAAAATATTTATTAATGCTATAAAATATTTATTAATGCTATAAAAAATATTTCTTAATCTATAAAAATATTTATTAAGGCTATTAAAAAATATTTATTAATGCTATAAAAATATTATTATGCTATAAAATAATTATTAATGCTATAAAATTATTAATCTTAAAAATATTATTATGCTATAAAAATATTTATTAATGCTATAAAAATATTTATTAATGCTATAAAAATATTATTATATGCTATAAAAATATTTATAATGCTATAAAAATATTATTGCTATAGTATAAAATATTATAATGCTATAAAAATATTATTAATGCTATAAAAATATTATTATAATGCTCTAAAAAATATTTATTAATGCTATAAAAATATGTTAATAACTTAACAATCTTTGTTTTAAATTATTTTAAATTAGCAAAGCAACAACCTTGTGTTTCACATACATTTTGTGAGGAACTTAATCAGTTTCGAGGGCAAACAAGTACAAGTCTCTCTTCATCAGAAGTAAAAAAAAAATCTGAAAGGCTAGAAAAACAGTGTGGGTGACGATCGCATTTAAACCCAATGGCAGTAACGCAAGCGAAAAGGTAACAGCATTTGCCGGCAAAAATATTAACGAAACTGAAACTAAGTTAATCGAATTTTTAAAGCGTCAGAAAAGACTGCATTTGACATAAAAACATTAACTAAACAAGACAAATCATTGTGAGTGTAAAAGCTTAAAGAAAATCTAATTCAGAAAATGAAAACAATTTTGAATAATTTTTATAGTCCCAAAGTCAAAATTATGATTGAATTTCAACTGCGATTAGCTACCGAAGGCTTGTTAATTTCGCCTTATCTCATATACGATTCGTGTTCCTTGATACGGAACTTTAATGCTCTTTTAGTTTGGACGATATATTTCAAACCGCGCTAACACAATATGCTATAACTTCACCATGAATTTTAGTCAGAAATGAAATCTTTAAGAACCTAACCATGGATTTTGATATTTCTTTGCTCCTGATGAAGAGGGACTTGTACCTGTTTGTCCTCGAAATCGCCTGAGTTGTTTTCGAAATGTACACCAAGACAAAATTGCCCTAAAGATTACGATAACAATGTAATGGCGTCAATATTTCACTTTGGCGTGTTTCTCTTCAGTTTTACTTTTAATTTTGTTTTAAATTTGCCCTTTTAAAATAGTTTATAAGTTCTTTTTTTATTCATAAATTTTTCGGCTGATCCTTGAAAAAGCTAAGAGAATTTTCAACTATTTGTTATACTATATTATTATATCGGTATGTTATTTTATTGAGTTGTTTTGCTTTTGTTTCAATTGTTTTGCGCGCTTTTCTTGTTAGCTTGTTACCCACCAGTTTTTAATTAACTATTAATTCTTGATCATCATGATACATGATATTATTCGAAATACGAACTTTGAGCTCAAGGAGACTAGTTCGAATTTTCGAATGATTCTACTTGACATGAGTATAAGTATTGCTCAGATCTTTCTTCTCGAACGAAAGCTGAAAATTAGGATTAGGGTAGTGGCCGAAATTATACCAGTATCTACTCAAAATTATACCAGTAATTCTAATGATGAAAACAATAAAATAGGAATTGCTGTAGATGACATGCTCTTCTCCATATGTCTGACATCAGATATAAGCATTTTAACAATAGATTTAGTTCACTTTATAGTACTCAAACAAATTATAATTAATAAATTCAAATAAGAAGCCATTTTATAAATTCATACCATACACAATTTTTTTAAATATTTGATATTTTTTTCTAGTCTTCGAGGCTCATAGAAGACGTTGCGAACTGCTTAAAAACATAATTAAAAAATAAGTAAATACATAAGCAAACGATTTTTTTTTCTTATAGAAAAAATTGTCACTTATAAGTAGAGCCACGAGGCTAGAACCAACGTAACCTAATTTCAACTGACCGCCCAATAAAAACTATGTAATACAGCATCATAATTATATAGTTTATACTTATTGTTTTACTTTCTGTTTTAAATATTATATCCTGTTCGTGAGGGCTGTTGTTCATTTTAAAACACGATATTTTCCATTGCAGATTCGCTCAGTGTTCCTAGGCTGGCTTCCACGGCTACTCATGATGAAGCGTCCGGCACCAAAACTTCAACGTAAGGGCCTTCTTGTAAACTCTAAAAAAGAATTCGAATTGAAAGAAAGATCATCGAAAAGTCTCTTAGCTAATGTTCTAGACATTGATGAAGGTGGTTTCCGGCAGAATGAAGCTGGATCGACAACTTACCTTCCTGTTGAAGATCCTCCAGCCACTGTCCGTGGGTGCTTCGCTACTCAGCGCGAGTTAAATTCCATCTTGCGTGAACTCCGTTACATCACTGGACGTATGCGACGCGAGGAACGCATTACTGACATCATTGCTGAGTGGAAATATGCAGCCATGGTGGTGGACAGGGTTTGCTTAATTGTCTTCACGGCTTTTACTATCTTGTCCACATGCATCTGCCTCTTTTCTGCTCCACATCTTATCGCCTGACCCTTTCTTTCATCAATAGAACTTCTCTGTCCACTTGGATTGTCTGGAATCTTCCAAGACTGATCTAACCAGGATAAGACGTAGATTTACACGGAAATTGTCATTTCAGTTGTCAGCTTAAAGAAAAAAATAAAGCACAGCAGGAACTGAAAAACAATTATTTCTGCTTTGAAACTGAGAAACCCGCTGCACAGAAATAGAACGGTGTTATGAAAATAAAATTTAAAACTCAAAATTATACACAAGTGCTTAAGTGGCAGATACATTATTTAATGAAGAGAAAATCACAGTGATTTTAATCATGCCTAAGGTTTTCATTTTATATTTTACATCGAGTAAAATCACACTTTTTACGATGTTAATCACATCACATTTTGATGTTATTAATCTTGGTTAAACATATTTATTACTTTCTTAAAGTGCTTAGATTTCATTATTGGAAAAAAAAATCCTTTTTGAATCAGTCATAAACTTTCAGTGCATAAGCATGTGATATAAAACATCCACCATGAACAATTTTCTGAATTTGAATAATGTACACAAATCATTTATGGCTCATTAAAACTTTAACATGAGATTATATGGACCACTTATGGCACAAAATGATTCGGGAAGAGGAGAATATTTGCTATTGTAATACTGTTCCATATGTCAATATCAATGAATTTTTAAATTCTTTTTTGATTCTTTGAACATTCTCACAAATTTTGATTATTCTATCTTTTCAAACATCTAAAAGATCCTAAGCTGCTGTTCGTTAAAATGCATTTAATATAATGCGTTATATCGCCTACATATACTGCCGTAAATTTAATCATAGTGTCAATTTGTTAAGGATTTTAGTATAAGTCATTAATTTAAAACTTATTTAAGTTTATGACTAAATTTTATTCAGATTCCTCTTATATGGCTGAGCTCATATAACTACCTTCCCAATATTTTTTCTTCCGTATATTGAATTTATTCATATTATACACAAACATACTATGTCATCTTATTCAGACATGTTTTTTTCCTAAAGGCTACTAAATTTCTTTTAATAGTCTTAATTGAAATATAATTTATATTGTAATTAACAAATTACAGTGTAATGTGTGATATTGCAATATAATCATATCAATGTTACCAGCAAGATTTCTTTACAAATTTTCTTAAATTAAAATAACTTATCATAGTTAACAATAATAATAATTATCATTCTTTCAATGTAAATTACATTCCGATAACGTAGTTCAATTAAAATTAAACCTTTAAACAGTTACAGGTCAGCTACATTCTAAAACCCATAGCGAAGACCGCTACTCGAAAACGTGTTGCCAATGGAAGGCAATGAATCTGTGTATGAATTACGAAATGCATGAAGATAAACACCTCTTAAAACGTTGCTTTGAGAGCATATTGTAAAAGCAATTTTAAGTCATCTCTTATATTTCTCTACGTTAATATTTTCAAGCAATTTTATGCAGAGTTATTATCAAATATTTTAAACTTAAAAAAGTTATCACTTTTAATGTGTACGTTTTGCTTAACTCTTAACATAAGACCATATTTAAAACTAGGTAAATATAATTATATCCTCATATACTTTAAATTTTAAACAAGCATGTATATACGTAAAAAAGCAAATTAAAGTTAAAAGAATTAAAAAAATCATCATATACTGTTATAATACCCTGATGAAATCAAACATCCATTATTTATGTAATAATTTTGTGTTATGGGTTTCCTGTTTATTTCGGAAATTTGCTAAGGTTAGATCATTCATTCGTTCTGTTGGTTTTAGATTTTGATATTTGTTATGGATTTAAAAATTATTACTTTACCTCCAAAGCATAGTTTCCATGATAGTTAATAAAAGTAAGATTTAATATAATCTTGACTGAAATTATACAAGTATAATATACTTTATGAATTGAAGAAATATTTAAACTTTTCTTAAACATTTACATAACATTATACCTTACACAATTTGTTTGAATGGCGCCATTGTGTAAATAATTGTATATTATTTGATATTATACAATTTATTTATTTATTATGTAGAAATACACTGGTATTACCCAGCGATATTTAGTTTAAATAATATATGGAACAAAACATGTAATAAATTAAGAATGATGACCTAGATTACAAAGCAAAAATTAAAGTGTTTAAAATGTCATGCTTTGTATATTCTAGTTACGCTCTTGGCAATCAAAGCTCAATTAAGTCAAAAGCATCTTAAACTAACCGTTTCAAGCTTTTCGAAATATTTATAAAGCATTCATAACTTAAATTTAAATAGTTATCCCTTTTTCTCAAACGGATATTACTCAATCCATTTAACGGTTGGTTATGGTACATTTATTTACTAAAACGGACGTGCGAAAACTTTCCAAGATTTGTAAATTTTATAACATCTTCGCAATTTATTGCAAAAAATAATTACGACATTTTAAAATGTTAAATATGTCTTTCAATATAGTTATGTCTTATTTGTATATATTATATGTAGTATTCTTTATACAGAATGTTGGCTCATTGTACTGTTTATATTTTTAAGCAGATCTTACACCAGAATTTATTTGTAAGATGCTTTGAGAAAAAACTACTTTTAAGTATTTCTAAATTTTTGAATTTAACTTCAATATTTCTAGATGTTTGAATTACTTTAAATATTCTTACTACTAAATATCTAAAAACGATACCTCGACAATGCGTTTAAAATTAATCAAGTATCAATAAAATTGTCGTCTTATGCAATATAATTTATTTTATTTGTAATTTCTTAAAACGTAACGCACATAAAATACAAATAATTACGTATATATAAAATAAAGTAGGTTATAATATCAATTACAGTATAATATGAAGTTTTGTTTTAAGCTAAAATACTTTGCTAATTTTTATCCTTTCGTTCGAGCTTGTAGCGAAAAGATATATTTTTCGAAATTATGAGTGAAAACATCCTCTAAAATTTTGTATTAAATGTGAAATGAAATTTTATTTTATGAAAATAATGTGTTCAACTGCTTACTTCGAATCTCTTAAATTTTGGATGTTTTTTAACTACACTACAGCGATTCTTTGTAGATTTAGAAAACAAAGTAGAAAAGTAGATATAGAATTTGTGAGTGGAGGCTCAATATGTGATAGATTGTTTACAAAGAGTTGACTAGTGATTTTGTGGTTTGATATTAAAATAGATAAGTCAGTTTATAATAAAGTGTCAAATTAAGGCTCATGGTTCTACATTTTTCTAAATATTTAAGTGTTTTGAATGAGAGATATTTGAAGTTTGTAATTAATGAAATTTATCTAACTCAAAGAAATTGCAGACTTTATTCCACGAAATCAAATAACTCATTTTTAAGGATAAATTTTCAATCTGTGTTCAGTTTTAGATGAAACACTTTGATGTAAGCCTTTATTTAAATGCATGACCAAAAATTATTGAATATAGTATTAAGAGCTTAAGACAAATAAATTTATTTATTTATTCTTGTTGTGTCTTTTACTTCAGTTTATTTTTAAAAAATGCATTTAATTCTGATTTACTGAATTTTTAAACTTTCCAATATCTTTCTATTTTATGGAAATCACTACCTAATGGACTGAAAACAAAGCACGTCATATTAGTACTTACACGCTATTCCATTCATTCATACACGCTATTCCTTCAGCAAAATTAACAAGGTTCCGATTCATTTTAAAAAAATGACCATTAAATGTTTTCATAGATGTATTAACACTAGTTCTATTGAAGTCAGAATTAAATATATATTAGATTCTGATTTTAATGCAGCTTTTATTTTTTTAATATGCAGTAGGCGCTGCTTAGTGTGATCATATTTGCCCATGATTTATTGGAAAGCATAAATAGAAAAATAACTTTAAGCGATGAGAAAAGTATTTTTAAAATATTGATTGAATTTTAGTAATTTCATGTGAACTTAACTAGAACCTATTAATACTTACTTTCAGAGCATTTTAATTAAGAGAAAAGTACTTTACAACTTGTTTTAAATTCTTACTTAACAGTTCGTTTTTTGAACTGCCCATAATGCTTCTAGAGATAATTTGACTGATGTTGTACTCCTAACCTCTTCATACAGCATCCCTCATCTCAGCAATTTGTAGGAAATTCACCGATTCTCTCATCATCTTCAGATATATGTATCACATGATGTGCTCGGATTTTTTTTATAAAGCGACAAACAGATATCTTCCTGTCAATGAATTTGCAGCTTGAGGTTTTTCATCAATATCCATCCAAGTGCTACATTTCTCACATTTTATACAAGTTGGAGACATTTTACTTTTCTGTCTTCTGTTCGTTTATCATTTATTAGAAGTTTAAAATGCTTAAAATACTTCTTTATTGATTTTTCTGACCACGCGGTTCTAAAATTTTAATGTTGCCCTAAATCAAAATCAGTATGTTTGGCGAATTCATCCTTATTTCGCTGAATAACTCTGTCATTTGGCTACCTATTTGCTCTACTTAGATCTTATATAACTATTATATCTATTATTTGACGACATTACTAAAATTTTAATAACATTAGCCAATTTGTTGATACGAGGTGTATTGCCCATGCTTTCATTTATAAATGGGCCGGACTTCTACAATTCGATAATAATATCCAAAAGATAATATAAAACGTAATCATCTTAAGTCGGTAACTACTGTGTTTCTAATCTGGAGTAATAAATATCTGATGGAGGGAAAACAAAGCATTCCGTATTTAAACATCACAAACATTTTATATAATATAGCGGTTACATTAATATGTAAGTGTTATATTAATAAAATTGATAGAAAGTGCTATATTAATAAAATTGATAGATAATGATAAAATTGATAGAAAATACCCCTCCTTTAGTAGAAAGGACCTCTAGAATGCGCTTAGGTAATGAATGTACTAGTTTGTGTATTTATATTTTACTTTTTTATCGTAGAAGCACATTTTTATAGCGTTCTTAATTACGCGTTCCTTTGTCGTACAGACCATTTTGCTAAACTATTCCACGAGTATATGGCACAAGTTTCCACTCGGATTTAAGTCTGGTAAATTTAAAAGCCAATCTAGCACTTTTATTATATTTTCCAACATGAACCTTCTGACATATTTCGAACTATGGCATGGAGTCTTATGTTGAAAGGCCTCAAAGATTTTCAAGAATGGTGCAGTTTTACGCTTTAAAATTTTTAGATACTTCGATTAATTACGTCAAAAGGAACAACTTATTTTAGATATTTTGAGGTGTTACTGATTCCTCCTGGCTTTGTTTAAGAAAATTAGAAGTGTAGCCATGAACAAAAAATTAATCTGTAAAGTATCTGGTCTTTCTCTATTATAAGTGACCAACCCTCAGTAAGACTGTAAGCAACTTATTGCTATGTCTTAACAAGTACAACAGAGACTTAAGAAGAGTGTAAAACATCCTATATTTTAAACTAAGATAGATGGAAAGAACGCACACCTGGTGCTCACAAATCAGCCATCGTTTATGGCGATAGATAGTAAATTACTTTTATAGTCTTTATTAGCTTTTGTTGAATTAATAATGCTACTTTGGAGTAGGAATCGGTCTCCTTTCACATTTTCTGGAAAAATGATCCGGTTTCATTGTGTCTCCTCAAAACGCTCGATTTTACAACACTAGTAACTGTAGCAATATTTCTTATAGTTTTGAATGGTTGACTGTGTGATTTTTGCTCTCTCTATCTCTACGTTATATCCATTTTGAGTACACTAAACTGAACGAAAGCGAAACGTATTTAAAACGTATGCAAAAGTAACTTTCTGTTATCACAGAAACAAGCTTAAAATGACACAATAGTATTAATCTATTGTCTAAATCAGTTCTAAGCAGACATCCATTAAGGCAGATACAACTGCTTTAAAGCATCTACTAGCGCCATCTGGCAAGCAATTTAAATTTCTGTGAAAATCGCTTTATCACAATTAATTTGCTAACTATAGTATCTATAAATGCGCTATTATTTTGATTGTTTAACTTTCCCCTTATTTATAGCAACAAAAATTTAAATTTAGAAAAACAACTAAACAATTGATACAGTGATATCACTTGTAAATGGAAAAAATATTTTACATTTAAGAGGAAATTTAGAGCAATTATTATTATTTCAAAGAAGAGTTTATTTAGTTTATGCAAAGGGAAAACATATTATTAAGTTTATCCGAATATCATAATTAATTTATTTAATTTTCTTAATTTCTGATACGTAGCGGCAAATAGTTTCGAGATATCAATTTGTTTCAATTATATTATGATAATTTGAATCTGTGTGACTTTAACTTTCCCAAGGGAAATCACATAATTTATGCTCGAGTAATCCCCGAGTTTAGAATATCAGCGTAATGAGAAAAGTAAAACAAAATTATTGCTTCAGAGATGGGAAAATAATTCGATTAATTTTTGCACTTTTAAAAGAAAATATTTTGACGCTTGTGGCAAAATGTTTCCTTTTGCAGATAAACACAACTACCTTATTAAATTTATTTTCTCAAATATTTTAAACAATTAGAGTTTTCTTTTATGTTTTATACACAAAGATATCCGTTAAATTGTAATTTCGAATGAAGTACTTAAAACTCTTAAATTCTGTTTCATGATAGCAGTAATCTTGTACTTGGGCTGCAGGCCGTTTTTACTTATTTATTTTATTGGGCATAATGATACCATTAGGAAATTCTGAAATGCATCATTCAATACTGATTTCGGATTTGAAGAAAGAGAAAACATAAAGCTTTGATTAACAGCAAATTGTACATGAAGATAGTTAATGTATTTGTATATGAAGAGACACAAGCATTTTGTGCAAAGCTGAAAATAATATTTAAATTTCATTAATAAGAGTAAATCACATTTTGTTATTACCACATCAATGTTTAAAGGAGAAACAGCAAAAAGTTTAACGGGACCATCTCGGAACTTCACATAAATTTTAGAGCGGTGGCCTATTCTTTCAATCTGATGAGCAGTCATAGCATATGCGGAGTCTGTAACTTAGGAATATGAACTTAAATGCCATTTGCCAGTCCTCGCGGCATTTACATGTGTCGTGCTTATCGTACAGCATTTATTTTCTTCATGGTTTTTGAGACTGCATTTTAACTCAGCTTTCATTTGCATGCTTTTCGTCAAGTGAAACACGCTGAATGCAACTGAAGCGGAAAAAATAGTAGCCTTTTTTCCACAGCTGTTGTTTACATGGTGATTAGTCAAACGTTCCATTACTCAAATGAGTGGCTAAAGGAAACCTTGGAGCTCCTCTTTAAAAGTAGAAACCCTATTTATGGCCTTTCCTTCATTAGGGCTATGCATGGATATCCCGCCCGGGAACATCCCAAAGATTTTCAATGAGATTAAATTTCGGGAAATACGGTGGCCTCTCCATGCCCTTATTCTCCAGGTACTCGTTAACGATGCTAACGATGTTAACTCATTAACGAAGTAAAGGTGAATAAATGAATTTTCACATGGTGGGACATTTTCACATGAATTGACTCCATGTCGCAATTCGAAAAGTGTCAGAAAATTCATATTGGCAAATAAAATTATTGTGCTAGATCCGCCTGGAAATTTACTAGATATAAATCCGATCGAAAACTTATGCACATTCTCAAGGAACGGCTTAGTAAAACGGATTGTACAGTAAAATAGCACATGACTGAGAATGTTATAAAAACGGCGTTTAATGACAAAAAAGTAAAAAATACATGCACAGGACTTATACAGCCAATGCCTAAGCGCATTTTAGAGGCCAAAATTTGTTTTACATGAAATTAAAAATGTAAATATTTGTTCACTCTATTTTTCACCATTATTTTCCACTAATTTGTACACTCCATGTACGCTTTTTCATCACCACTCGATAAATACAGGGATATGTTACATTCGTTAGTTTCGCGTATGTATTGCATACTAAACATTGCCTTAAAGGTAAACACACATTAAAGTACATTAATACTGAAAGAATTTATAACACTTTCCATGCTCTGTAAATGTCCAACTTTTAAATGTTGTCTGCGCTCTTAATTTTTCAGTATAAAGCACAAGATATTTTAACATGGGCTAAATTCTAACAAAATTAAAATTAACTTCATGCACAAAAGTTTGATCTCGAAATATATTCCCACATGAAATTCTTCATAACAACTAACCACAAATGGAGAAAAATAGGAAATTGTTTACACTTCAAAAAAATTCAAGATATTCCAAGGCATTGAGAGACTATGCTAAAGTGAGAAACAAGGACGAAGAAATTCCGATAACGCTCAATGATTGAATTGCTTTCTATTCTTCTGTCTCCCTCCTAGAATAAAACGGCATTTTGCTTTTATGGATGCACTAACATCCAATAATGCACCTTGGCAGAAACGCGACGAAAGAGAGAGGCATGTGAATTTTATTTTCTGGGCCATATTTCACACATCAGCATAGGTTCGAAGGCTATCCAAAATATTTGC